AAATACACTACGTGCGTAAGAGCTGTAAACAGAAATATGGCCAATAAAGATGAGAGGGAAATAAAAGGAACCCAGTAGGTAACCTAACCGGTGATAGTGAGCAAATACATCAAAATGGTATCTATGCATCATTAGTAGTCAATCACTAAATTAAAGTCTTAATGCTGTGATTGTGGGGCAGAATTTACATTTATATTTATATTAATTTACATTTATATAAATACATAAAATAGAAGCTGCTCATCAGCTTGGTTACACATACAGTTTACCATACACTGAAAGGCAATAAATTAAGATAATCTGAAGTCCTATTTTCTCATATAAGTTAAGCAACTAGAACAAAGAAAAGTTTAAATTCTAGGAAGTTTAAATCTGGGCACTGGAAACATATTAATAAGAATAATTCCTACCTATGAAAAATTTTATGTATTAACCACAATGGCTGCAATATTTACTCTCTGCCAGGCACAATGCTATTAATAAGTGCTTTACTTGACATTGTGGGATATCCTCAGGGAAGGATCCACTTTCTGAAAACTTCCTTGTATTTACCATGTAACGATTTCTTTTCCTTTTCACATGAACAGAGAGTAGCAATAATGATGGCCTTTTTCTTTATGTAGCAAGTTGCCTTTTTGTCTCTCCAAAAACTCAGAGTAAAAATGAGATGGATTCTAAGTAGATTTTCCCACAGACTCCCAATCTCTGGTGCAAGAAAGGTTACATAAAGAATCAGAACACTTCTTCTTAGACCCAAGCCTGCTGTAATTCAGTCAGGAGGCCATGGAAAGCCCTTCTGAGGTTTCAACATCCAACCACCAAGGCAGCAATGCCACCGTTGGGGCCCACCATTGGGGATTTTACAACATAAAACAAAGCACATTTTTCTTTAAATGCTTCATCAAGAGATTCAGTCAATTTAAGTTCATATATCTAAAAAACTCATTTTTTTCAAAAGTACTATAGTTATTAAAATACTACAAAATCTAGTATTAACTTTCAGAGCTTTAAATTAGAAAAACACATAATAATTTAATACTTCTATTTTATCAGAGAT